ACAAATTTTCAGCATTTCTATATTTTCGAATTTGCCTTTTTTAGGATTTCCGAATTTCTGAAATCCAGAAGTTCTTAAATCTACCCTACCTGCAACTCGGTATTAATCAAATCCTCATTGTGTCGAACCGGAATCTCCGCATACTCCGGCACATCTGTCAACGCCTTCAACATCTGTTCAACAGTACATCCCGAATGCAACGTCTTCACCAAGAATCGAATCGTTTCGTGTTGCAAATAATAAACCGATGCGATTCTACCAAACGCCGTCGGTCCGATGATGTCATTCTCCGAATCCACGTGGATACATTCCGATTCGAGGAGCTCCGAAACAGAGCCATCGACGATTTGAGAAATGAATTTGAGCATTGATTCTTCGGAATCTTCATCTAGACCATAATAATTGGGATTGGCAAATAGTCTTCGATAGAGATAGGTTCCTGATAGATACTCAACAATTCCCTGCTTTGAATCAATTGTTCCGGCTGAAATTTCAGCATTTACGTGGTTGGGAAGCACTGGAAGAAGGGAGGATTCGACGGGGAATGGTTCGTAGAGGAATTTCTTGTAGAACGTTTTTTTCGAGTCTTGAACATAGATCACGGCGACTGCTGAATCGTCGAATTGCGGACGGCCGGCACGACCCATCATTTGGAGAACGTCTGAAAACAATATATATGCATTTGGTGGCTTCTGGAAATTTAGAATTTTCTATTCTTGATTTTTTTTCAATTCTAGAGAATCTGGTGTTTTGAAAAACCGTAAAATCCTGAAGTCAGAAATTCGAAAAAGACAGTTTTGAAAATTTGAAAATCCAGCAGATTGGAACTCGAATATTTCAGAAATGTTGGAATTCTGTGAATCTGGGATTCTAGAAAACCATGGAACTATGAGAATTTGAAATTATGGAATACTGGAATTTCGGAATGTCAGGAATTCTGAAAATCCGGAATTTTGAACACCTGGAATTCGGGAAATTCTGGAACTTTGGAATTCCGAAAATCTGGTGATTCTGGAAATCTAAAATTCAAGAAAATCCGTTTCTCCTTTCAGAATTCCGGACTTCCTTTTCTTTCAGAATTCTGGATTCCAGAAATTTCAGAAAACCTGAAAATCCTGAACGTTGAACACCTGGAACTTTGAAAATCTTGAACTCTAGAATTCCGGACATTTGAAAATCGGAAAATCGGAAATCTAAAGTTCTAGAAAGTCTGGCAAATCCGGAATTCGCAAAGAACGAAATTCTGGAAATCTAGTATTCTGGAAAATCCGAAATTATTGAATACTGGAAAATCTAGAATTCGGGAAAAATCTGGAATTCGGAAATTCTGAAAATCCGAAATTCAGATTACATAAATTTTGGAATTTAGAAAATCCGAAACTCTGAGATCCTGAAATTTGGGAAATGTGGAACTCTGAGATTAGAAACTCTGCTATTTCGCAAGTCTGGAATTTTCGGATATTCGAAAATCCGGAGTTCAGAGATTCTGGAAATCGGAAATTCTCGAAATTTTAGGAACTCTGGGATTCCAAAAATCCGGAATTCCGAAATTGAAAATTTTGAAAATCTCGGAATTCTTCGAAAATCTAAAATTTTGAAATTCTAAAAAATCTGGACTTCTGAAAGTTCGAAATTCGGAAATCCGGAAAGTCGGAATTCTGGAACTCTGAAAATCCTGAATTATGGAATACTGGAATTCTGGAATTCAGAAATTGGAAAATTGTGAAATCTGAAATTCAGGAATTCTGGAAATTGGTCAGAATTCAAAAATCCATCTTTAATTTTCAGATTTTCCAACTTCCTCTAAAATTTTCGAAATTCTTGTTTTTTTCACGTAAACCTCCAATTCTCTCTCCACCTGGATATTTGCTTTTCAAAATTCAAATTCCCGCCAGAATCTCTCCGAATTTTTTCTTCAGCACCATAACCCCCAAAAGAAAAAAATCGTCCATTCTCCCTCCTCCAAATCCAATAGATTCCCCTGGATTCAGTCCTTAGTTAGTTCAAATTATCCATCGGGAAATAAGCATTCATTCAATATGATAATGCAAGTATTATTATGGACTATAACAGTTTCAAATGACTTCTGGACAGTCCACGTACCTAATCTCATCATCACGCCCCTCCTCTTACACACTGATAAGTCTTTTGTGTCGGGATGGCTTAACTTTTGTAAGTCGAGTTTTCTAGTCCACCAACTTCTATGACCTAGAAATTGTCTGATTTCCAATTGGTGTGTTTTCTAAGCTAATTTAACATGGTGGCCTAACTTTTCGAATATAAAAAACTCAAAAATCCAAAAATTCGAAAATGTTCCAGGTTGTTTCCTAATCCTAGCCCTAGCACTCGCCAACTGCTCGAAATGGTGTAAGAAAAAGTCAAAAAGTGGAAAAATCAAGAAGACTCAAAAAACCATCGGTACGACGATTGGTATTAGATCGGGAGCAACGACGGGTGGTAACACTGGCACTGCAATGGGCGATCATAAGAATTCTGGTTATCCAGTTGGAGAATCTGATCAATCGGACACAAAAGCGTCGGCGATATCAACGTATGCTGACGCGAAGAACGCCGATGGAGCGGCGGTCGAAGGAGGTGGAAAGGGCGGAGCTAAAGCGCCGAAGAAGGTCAAGAAGGGGAAGACGACGTCGGAAGATCAGGATGAGAAGGATGCGAAGAAGACGGCGACAAAGGATGAGACTAAGGGTAAGTGGGGATATGAAATCATTTAACCTAGTGGCCTAACTTTTGCAAGTTGAGTTTTTTAGGCCACAATGGTAAATGACTTAGAAACGGCCTGTTATTCACCTGATGCGTTTTTGAATTTGAATTTTTTTCGAAATGTCCTTGATTCAAAAATCAGAAATCCTAAATTTCGAAAATCATTTTGGAAAGTTAGAAATTCGAAAATTCGAAAAAAAATGTTTTTTTTTGAAATTTTGATTTTTCGTATTTGTGGATCCGGAGAATCGTTTCTGAATATTACGAATTGGAAAAAAAATCGAGATACAGTAACCCAAAACCCTTCTTTTCAGCCGAAGTCGAGTACAACCACGAGAACACGCTTCGCATCGAGATGGTCGACGACGATCACACGAAGACGACGACAGTCGATCAGTCGGCATGCCTCGACGCCTACGACGTTGCCAATAATGAGCTCGTCAAGCGACCCTCCCAAATCAACGCCAAACAGCAATCGGACAAGGGCAAGGGCAAAGACAAGGGCAAAAAGAAGAAGAAGAACACGACGGTGCAGAGTGTCGATTGTGGACCACCACCGGCTGATGATAAGGTATTAGTTTGGGCTCGTTGTCGACCGCGGCCTCGAAATTTTAGCATCCCAACATGGTGGCCTAACCTTCCTCAAAATGAATTTTCTAGGCCACCATGGTAAATGTCCTAGATAATATATTGTGTAACACGATTCGTGTTTCAAATCCTTTTATTTCCAGGCCGCCAAGAAATCGGGAAAAGTGACGAAATCGAAAAAATCGAAGAAATCCAAAAAATCCAAAAAATCGCAACGGTCTCAACGTGGCAATCAACCGGCGTCTGGTCCGGAGAAGCAACAGGAGTCGGGTCCCAACGAGAAGAAGATGCGAACCGCCGACGATGGCGAATCGGATCAGCAGAAGGAGAAGGATCACGCGAAACACGAGAAGAAGACGC